TGCTGCCCCCAGGTCACCAGGGCTTTGTAATGCACACTCTGGTACAAGATAGTTTACTTATAATACTGGCAGCTCCCTGTAGCATCTGTGCTCTTAACAGATGTGTGTGCAGAGAGGAAACTGATTCAAACCATGAGCCTGTCCCGATTCTTGTGGAATGAGAAGAGTCCATTGTATAGACCTCATGAATCAACATCCTGCACCTCCCCACCACACCCCATATACTTCTTCAAACTTTGGGGTCTGCCAAGCCTGCTGATACCTTCCACTTGTTAATGGAGGGTGCCATTTTTGGCTACATTAGGATCCACACTCAGACACTGAGTTTGCTTGTATCGTGTATACGGAACAGTTGCAGCGTGGATAAAGTTATTTGAGTTACATGCTTTCTTAAGATAGCAGGTTTTAATTCATCCTTGGAATTTGGAATATTGCACCATTTCATTTAGGGTGGTATCTTCCAGAAAGAGGTCTGGAACCCACGGAATTAGGAAGTGAGGGAAAAGAGAAGGGAAGGTCAAAAAGGAGTGGGGGCTGGACTTCAAACTGTTGGAGTGAACTACTTGGCAAAGTCTCCACCCCTAACTTGAACATCGGAGGGCTTCCCGATACTCCTCCGGTTTGGAGAAGTTTAGAAGAAAAATGGCAGGGCAGGGTTTCCATCCAACTTTGAATAAGCACCATGAGGGCTGAGTTCGCCCCATCAAGCCGAAGTCACAATCTAGTCTCTGCAACACTCTTACCATCACACACACAGGTGCTGCTGGTCCATTGGGTGTGCTTATTTTGTCCTTTCTCTAGTTTGATAGATATGCCCAGTCCAATCTGAAGGAAGGACTTCAGCTGTATGAGACAGAGGGAAATGTGGGTTTAACCAGAGCATGGGACGTTGTGCAGAATGAGGTGAGTCTCTCTCTCTCTCTCTCTCTCTCTCTCACACACACACACACACACACACACACACACACACACACATTTACAGTACTTCCAAATGGTCAACAGTCACATCCTAGCAAATTCAGGTTGCTCAACTAAAGCTGATTTTGAGTTCTTGTGCAACAAACCCACTTCCCTAATAGATTGGGATATTTTTGCAAGAAAGAGGTGAGGGAAAGGTGGTAGGATGTGTGGGATGGTGCTTGCATCATGCGTTGCCATCTAATCTACCCACAAACAGGTAATCTGGAAATGAATTTAGAGAGCTAAGAAACAGCCAGGGAGATTTCCCCCACTTTAAACATCCTCATCCCATTTTGGAAGAGCACCCCCCCCCCCGTGTGAGACTGATTTCTCCCCTTGCTTCCCAGTTTCGCTGCTGTGGGGTGCAGAACTACACAGACTGGTTTGAGGTCCGCAACAGAACGTGGGTTCCGGAGTCCTGCTGCTTGCAGCAAAGTGACATCTGCCAAGTGGACAGCGCCAGCTGGTGGAAGGAGGTGAGACGGCAGCAGGAGTTGCCCTCAAGGAAGAGAGAATCCCCTACGGCTGTGGGTTCCAAATTGGGTTGTCCGCTGAAGCCCCCTCCAGAAATGCTTGTGTCCTGAGCAAGTGGCAAATGGCTAAATGCAGGGTCCGATTACAAGACTGGCCTGCACTAAAACCCTCCAGCAGACCTCTCTCTCGGAGCTGTTGAGGTAGAGACGGCCTTTGACACTCTGTCCTGCGACAAAAGTATCAGCTTCTGGCTTTTGACTGTAGATTCTCATCTCCCTCTCTGACCATACAACACACTCAAATTTACTTTTATGCTGTTCTAACTTCATGGCTTATCCCAGTGAATCCTGAGAATTGTCACTCAAGGAGGTGCTGAGACAGAGGTCTCAGAGGTCTGAGACTCTCTGCTTTTAACATTTTGTGTATTAAATGTTGAGCTGTCTCAGGAAGGAGGGAATGATGAAACCGGAGGGGGAAGGGGTTCCTAGTCTTTGGTGGCCTACGAACCAGCACATGACTTTTATGAAGCCCCCCAAAATTTCAAGACTAGCTACTCTGTGTGTCTTCTTGCCATTAGCAATATGCAGTAAGACAGAGGGCCTTTGTGGATTGCTTTTCCTGAGGAAAGCGGCCTAGCCCAGTTCTCTTCTGATGCTTCAACCCAACTGAGTTTTGGTGACGGCTGCAGCCTTTGATTTGCTTCATTAATGCTGCTGCTCAAAGCTGTCGTGTTAATTTAACTCATCTTTTTAACTGTGAGATTTTCTTGCTCTTTTTTTTTGAGCAGAATAGCATATCTGCTTTATGATTTTTAAAATGTCAGGTTGTTTACACTTAAAAGTCACTAATGAGAAGCAGGCTATAAATATATTGGGGGGAAACAACAACACCTAGTCCGGGCTGTAGTATGGATACATCCAATTTAATTGGGTTATCTTCCTCCCTTCCCCAATATATTTTACTCTCAAAAGACTTACATAAAAGGAGAGTGGCAGTCAGCCTATTAGCGTGACCAGTTACCAGCCTGGGTTGCTGCAGTTTTAATGATATAGGCAAATTAGAACAGGTTCAGAAAAGATTACTGAAGATGGCCAGCTGTATGTAAAATAGTCCTGGGAAGATAGGTTGGATGAACCGGGTATGTTGATTCTGTTTAGACTGAGAGGGGTGTGTGTGTAATAGCCCTCTTCAAGGAGAAGTACTGTCACATAAAGCAGAGGCAGGGAACTTCAGGGTCAAATGCAGCCTGCCAGGCCTATCTGTCTGTTGAAATTTCCCTCAGCCTCATCCCTCACTGGTGCTGCTTCGTATCTAGAGTGGTTTTGCCTGACTGTAGTACGTCCTTGAACTCTCCTAATGCCTGTTGCTTGTCTGGATGGAGGACAGAGGGGTGACTGTGCAGAAACCAGTCTAGTTACTGTACAGTGGTAAAATTCACTTTCTCTCCTTCACCCATCCTAGCCTGAAGCTCCCAGATAGTTGCCAAGAAGAAAATGCAGTCCTCCTGCTGGCAAAGGTTCCTGTTGCAGAAGAAAGGCTTGTTCACTTCAGCCCAGTGGATAAGAAGGGGGGACACTTTAAGTTATAGGAGCTGATTTGGGCTGAATATTCAGTTTAATACTCAACCCAAATATTCAACTGATTGATGGCAAGCGCAGTTCCACAATGGAACAAATGACCCAGAGTTCCTACTAGAAACAGCTTGCATGTTAAATAAATGTTAGATTAAATGGAAGATGACATTTTTTGGGTGCACAGGAGTTTGATCAACCCAGATCAGAGGCACTGCCTCTTCTTGCCAGTGCGCTCTGGTGACCATGTTTGTTTTGTGCTCTATTCCCCTAAAGCCCTGTTACGAGAAGGTGAAACGCTGGCTAGGAGAGAACATCTCAGCCATGGGCATCTTTGCCGCCTGCATCATTGTTGTCCAGGTGAGCAGGAAGGAACAGCCATGGGAGGGGACACGCCTGACCTGAGCAACTGCTGAGGCTGCTCTGGTGCAACACCACACGTGCCACCCATTACCATCAGCACAAGAACGGAAGGTGGGGTTGTCTGCAGGGGACCACAGAATAGGATGAAGCTATTCTTTCCAACACTGGCCATGGTCCCACAGGGAGTAAATAAATAAATTGGAAGCAACACGTAAACTGGTGCAATCTGTGCTGTCAAAAGGCATCCCCCTTTAGGAGAGAAGACTGTCCAGGAGGATGGTTTCCTGACTGGGAAAAGACCACATAGAAGCTGCCCCTGCCACCTCCAGTTTGTACAAAATGGGCCAAGAAGCAGGGGACTGGGAAGCCAGAAGCCAGGACATTGGCTCATTTGTAGAGTCTACGCAGTTAGCCAATATGGGGCCTTTTAGAAGTTGTGGACTACAACTCCCATCAGCCGCAGGCAGCATGGCCAGAAGTCAAGGTGATGTGAGTTGTAGTCCAAAATATCTAGAGGGCAACCCATTGGCTACACCTGGTCTACACTGACAGGCAGCAGCTCTCTAGTCTTTTGGATAGCCTTGCTTGGAGATCCTGGGTGGTTGAACCTGAGACCTTATGCTCAGCCTTCCTACATTTTAGAGGCAGCGGCAAGGAGGGGAGTTCAGGAGGCAGCATCTTAATTCCAATATTGTAAGGAAGTGACATGCTGGGCCGGGACTCTTCCACCCCCACTTTTTTGTTGTCTGTCTGACCTCCTTTATGTCTCTCCAGGTCTTGGGCATTGTTTTCTCCATGCTGATGTACTGCCAGGTGCGGCGGGCGGAGAAATACTATGACTGAGCCCCATCCAAGTACATTCTTCATGCCTCAGTCTTTGTGGCTCAGAAGCAGCACCAAGGGGATTCCTAGCTCCTTTAGGGCACCCACTTTCCCTTGCTTCCTCTCCCTTTCGCTTTCTTCCTTATTTGAGAGCCTAAGACGTTTTGCTAAAGACCATTTCTGCCATTAGGCTCATGCCATGTCTTCTGGGAGAGGAAGATACCCCCCCTTCCTTCTGAAGGACCTCGTTTTTTGCTAAATCTTTTATTGTGCGTACCTCTTTTCAGGCCTAGAGTGGGATTATATTTCCTTTCACCTTAGCCTACATAATCCCCCATCCCAACCCTATATTTTACATCGTGATCCTGATACCTACCCGCCCTTTGCCCTTCAATCTTGTTGCTTTTGTATATAACAGAATTATACCAAGCACCAATAAAGCAATTAATCCCTTTCAGTCACTCTATTTATTTCCTGCTGCACATCTGTATTTTGGGCTAGGAGTGAAGAGTGACAGCTGCTCAGAGTTCTTCATGCTAACTCTCCATCAGCCCAAATGGCAAGTGATTTTACAAACGAAGCGATCTCCTCTTTGAGGGAGGGGGGATATAAACAGAAGAGGGAAAATATATAATGGGGCATGTTTCTCCCCCTCCTGTTTTGCTCCGCTCACAGGTCTGGATGAAGGTAGCTGGTGGTACGGGAAGAGGTCTTCCACAAAGGCCTGCCATCCCACCACCTTTCTGGAGATGTAACTCCCCCCCTTCTAACTCACTTCCTGTCAATCAGACAATACAGCAAAAGAGTTGGTAAAAGACAGCTTTTTTTTAATTATTATTATTATTGGCTTGTAGGTTTGCAGGAAGGAGAAAAATAAATACATCCTCTCCCTTCCAATTCACCAATCATCTTTGGACAAAAATAGAGGGCCAGGGCCACAAAGCGCCCTTGAAAAATCTGATACAAAAGTATTATGCTGGGGCAGCGAGGGGGTGGGTGGAAGATAAACGGAGGGGTGTAGGTGACTCCTAGAGCCGCTTTTACATCCCGCCTGCCATGAGAGCAGCCTCACCTTTGCACCACCCCTCCCCCCAAGAGGGAAAAAAAGGACCCTGAAGTACCGCTCCTGGAAATTGGGAGAGAGCTATGCATGGGGGAAAGTGGGGGAGGGGGAGGTGGGGCAAGCACAAAACGACAGGATTCCTTCCCCCACCACTGCTGCCCTGCTCTACAAAGGGTCAGTTAGGTCAAGTGTATAGACAAACCCAGCTTATGTGCAAAGGAGATTTTAAGACACTTATTTTGGGAGGAAGAAAGCAAAAATAGAGGGGGGGGGCTTGGGGAACTGACGAAGGGAACCTACCGCAGCCAGATGCTGGGGTAGATTGGAAGGGTTGATGGTGGTGGCAAGAACAGATATGGGGGTGTATTTGTTGTCAGTATCCGTCCGTAGTGTTCCATTTCCCTCTTCTATGTGTCAGGGACCCCTCTCAGAAAAACAACAACTCAATTAGATAGGATAGAAGGGGAAAGTGGGACAGAATTTCTGGCGTGGAGAGGAGACAATTTGACCCTCCACGCCAGCTGTAGTGTAGAGATTGAGGTCATCACTTTAATTTAAAGCTTGTGGGAGCTCAGGAAGGGGAGGGTGGGAAAAGAGAGGGGAGGGAATTCGAGCTGTATGGCTTGAGGGGAGCTTCCAACCCTGTCCACCGATTTGGATGTGGGGGGGGGGGAGAAATAAAAGGGCACAAACAGAGGAAGGGGCAGGACAAAGGGCCACCAGATCCATTAGTATTTCCGCTGTAGTTTCTGGAAGTCGCTCGTGTTGAGGCGCGGCCGAGGCAGGTCCCCAAACATCTCAGTGCCATCTGACACCCTCAGCACCAGAGCTCGCATGCTGGCGGCAATTTTCTCCAGGTCGGGGGACGAATGCTGTATTGAGGAGCAAGGGAGAGGGAGCCAGGTGGAGAAGTCTTCGTTATTTGTTTTAAATAATTAAGTAAGTGAGCAAAACTAGGTTGCTCCCGTCCTACAGCTAAATTCAGATCTCTACCTAGAAGAGCTTTTCAACAGAAGCTCCCACTGGAACTCTGGAGGTTCTGCCACCCAACTTCCAAAGTCTATGCATTCTACTCTAAGACACACAACTCCTAATTGAGACTCTGTGTATTTCTTTTCTATGTTGTCAATGGTTATAACACAGAACAATATAAAGGCATCAGGGCAGGGCGTGACAAAATTAAGCACCATTAAAAAAGTAACAGGTCAATCAAAGATGCTTTAAGCCACCATATAGGCCTGGTGGTAGAAGAAGATATTCCAGAAACACCTGAAAGTTAATGGGTTTTTTTTGGGGGGGGGGGTCTCCCAAATCTCCGCTGGAAGTGTGTTCCATAGCATGGGACTGGGGACACTAAATGGCCAACTCCTAGCGGAAGCCATTTGGCCTTTTTTGTAACCCAAGATACACACCCTTCCTTGAGATCCTTCACCTACTTTGCTTTCTGGCTCTCACTAGGTGCAAGCAGCTCCAGCACCCAGGTTGCCCCCTAAGTCTCCCTCTTCTCCATCAAACCGGTCTCAGGCATTATCCTTTGCTCAAGCACCATTAAAAAAAACACCATTGCTGATTTTCGCATAAAGTACACATCACACAATTGTCTGCCAAAACCATGAGGAGGGTGAAAGGGCTGTGGAGGACTTAACAGGCCTCACCTCGCTCACTTCCGACTTCTCTCCCGTTGGCCACACACATTCAAAGCCTATCTTTGCAATCGTAAGAACTTGATTTTTAAAGAAAGCAAAGCAAAGCTGAGACTCGCCTGGTGAATTAACGCAAACGACATTCATTTCTGTGCATTCAAGCTGCAGCCACAGGATATGCGCAGCCCCAGCCACTTACAAAAGCTACAATGACACCTGTAGGAACTGGGGGGGGGGGTTGAACTTTTTGCAAATGTGGCCCCAGCATCTTTCCAGCAGTGACCCTACCACCCTGCTGGAAGATGTGTTTTTTCTGGAGCTTAACCACCAGTCGAACCCTACACACCTGTCTTAAAAAGGAAGGGGGAGAGCTCTGGAGTGTATCCCTCCCCCCAAAAATGTCTGCCTTTCCAATACACACATTCTCAGTTCCTACCCACCTTGCTGTTCTCTTCATCAGAGGATCGCATCTCTTGCCGTTGCTCCTTGAAGCCCCAGATAGGCACTGAGACAGGCAAGGACTTGGCATACTGATGGCTGAGGGGTGGAGGGGCTGTCTGGCCAGGAGCCTCCTCACTTAGACTCCCATCTGGGAGAGAGAAATGGGGGGAGAAAAATGGGTCAGAAGGACGGAAGGAAATAAAAAGAAATGAACCATCAGAAAGCATCCTCCTCCCTAGCTACAGGAGGGAAGGGATAACATCACTCTCGCAGGAACTATGCTACCATTTAGTTCGAATTCCTAAAACTCACTAAAGCAGTGTTTCTCAAACTTGGGTCCTCAGCTGTTGTTGGACTACAACTCCCATAATCCCTGACCACTGGTCCTGCTAGCTGGGGATGATGGGAGTTGTAGTCCAACAACAGCTAAGGACCCAACACTCCAATGAAAAGGTTGTATGTTTTTTGCAGACAAGTGACGTTGTTTTGCAGCACCCCATGAAACCTCCAATTTTGATGTCATAGCAAGGAAGCTTCAGTTTTGGCCGGGAGAGGCCTGAAGAGAGACTCCAATAAGAGGGAGCCAGGCATGCACATTTCAAGCAAATGTCTCCTTCCTACTGTATAAAGTCCCTGACGTGCCTCCCTTATCTTTTGTAAATTTAGCAGTAACAAAAGAGTGTCAGGCTCCCTTCCGGAAGTGTTCAACCAAGATAAAATCTCCTAAACGTTACTCCTTTCCTTTGCCCACCAGTTCTTGCAATTGCTAGATCAAGTAGTTCCCAATGGCCTGAGGCTCTTGTCAGAACAGCCCAACATATTTGCTGATCTCTTTTCCCTACCTCACCTGGACAGCAAAATTAGATGCATCTCTAGAAGCCGTTTTGCAAGGTTTTTTAGACAGACTCTTCCCGGCTTGCCTTACAGTTTGTAAGATGAACATGGAGCTTCCATGTTCCAAGGAAGTATCTCCAAGTCTGTTGCCAGGTGCTACATCTTAAGAGGTATGTGATATTTGGAGCCAAGTTATCAGGAGGTGGTCTGCCCACTTGCAAGCTTTCCCCAAGACACCTGCTTTTACTTTGCTGGAGGTAGAACAAAAGGACTATGGGGACATTTGGCTGGGAAAGGCAATTCGTTTGTCATTAGGATGCACATAACTTCTGCTGCCACCGCCCTTCAAAACCCTGGTAGAATAAAAAAAGTTAATGAATGTATGAAGCAACGGAGCCCTACTCCTTGTACCTATTGTTCACATTTATTGTATCCTTCCTCTGAGCAGCTCAAAGCAGCAAGGGTGGAGATTGGGGGGGGTCACCTCTTTTATCCTCTTAGACAACCTTGTAAGGTAGGCTAGCCTGGCCCAAGGTCACCCAGTGAGCTTCAGGGCCAAGCAGGGATTAAAACCCAAGTTTCTCTGGTACACTCTCACCACTTTGCTCCTCTGACTGCTGATCCTCTCCCACAAGGAAGATCCTGACAAACAGAGAGGGGATGTGGGAAAAGCTGCTCCCTCAATATACCTATAAAGTCTTGAATGACTCCAGGCCTAATGCAATCAGCAGGGACGTGGGTGGCGCTGTGGGTTAAACCACAGAGCCTAGGACTTGCTGATCAGAAGGTCAGTGGTTTGAATCCCCGTGACGGGGTGAGCTCCCGTTGCTCGGTCCCTGCTCCTGCCAACCTAGCAGTACGAAAGCGCGTCCAAGTGCAAGTAGATAAATAGGTACCGCTCTGGCGGGAAAGTAAATGACATTTCCATGCGCTGCTCTGGTTCGCCAGAAGCGGCTTAGTCCTGCTGGCCACATGACCTGGAAGTTGAACACTGGCTCCCTCAGCCAGTAAAGCGAGATGTGCGCCGCAACCCTAGAGTCGGCCACGGCTGGTCCTAATGGTCAGGGGTCCCTTTACCTTTACCTAATGCAATCAGCAGTATCTTGGCTTCTTCCACATTTGCAGTCAACATAGTATGTGCATTGTGGGAAGCTGGCAGAGGGAGTGAAGAGACTAAAAAAAAAAAGTGGGAGATTCAGCTGCCGCTCACCGTCAGTGCTCTCCACATCAGAGTCGAAGAAAGGCTCATATTCCTGGCTTGGAGAATCCTCGTCCATCACAAACAAACCTGGAAGTGAATTAAAAACAAAACAGAATTAGATCTCGCTGAGTTGTATGCACAGGGACCCCCTATTTGAACATGAGAAGTAGCCGTTCTGGGACTGCTTATCGAGCGATCAACACAGTTACGTCTGAAGAAACCCCCCCCCCCATTATACTGGGATCCCTCACTCACTAGTTAGGTACAGCTATATTTTGCTTCAAGTTCCATCTGTCAACTGAGAGATGCAAGTGGCAACTGTAAGCAAAGCGTCTTCCCCTTCCTGTGGCAACTTTAAAAACTAAGAAGAACCCATTTGATCAGGTCAATGGCTCCTCTAACCCAGCATTCTGCTCCCAAGATTGGCCAACCAGATGCCTTGTGGGAAACCTACAAGCACAGGAGAACACCCCCACATGGTGGTTTCCAGCAACTGGTTTTCAGAAGCATTATTATCTCCAGCTGTGGAGGCAGAGAATAGACAGCATGGATCATAGCCATTGAGAGCCCTCTCCTCCATGAATCTGTACAATCCTCTTTTATTTTTTTCCCTTTTTTATTAAATTTTATTAAATGTTACCAAAAAATGAATAGAAAAAAGAAATAGAAACAATACATAACCATACATAAAAACATTTTGTCTACACAATTTTCCAGAATGCAGACTAGAAAAGAAGACAAAAGATAAAAGAATGAAGAGAAAAAATATTTTTCATAATCAATTATTCCAAATTCATACTTCAAACATCACAATATTTAAATCCTAGTTAAAATATTATAAAAGACTTCCACCGCATTCCCCACACATCTCTTGGTTATCTAATTCACCTTTACATCTGTTCTTCAGTCACTCCCTTTCCTTAAATTCTTTCGTAGTCCATCTAATCTTTGTATTCTCAGTATTCTTCACAAGGTTAGTCTAAGCACAATCAAACTTTCGTGTATGATCCCTGTTTGTGTAAATATTCATTTAAGCATTCCCATTGTTTCTGTACCATAGTTTTAGATTTATGCCTTATTATATCCGTCAATTTTGCTAATTCCAGATACTCACATAGTTTACTTAACCATTCCCTTTTTGTTAGGATGTTATTTCCTTTCCAGTAACTGGCCACCAGTGTTCTCGCTGCTGTTGTTGCATATAGGAATATGTTAATTTTATCTTTGGGGATATCCTTACTCAAAATTCCTAATAAGTATGCTTCTGCCCTTTTGTTACATGAAACCTTTATTAATTTTTTAATTTCTTCATGGATTATTTCCCAGAATTTTTTGATCTCTGAACATGTCCACCACATATGGTTTAGAGTGCCCTTCGTCTTATTGCATCTCCAACATTTATTACCATACTAATCGATCTATTCATTTTTGCTAGTCTGTCTATTTTAAAGCCACCTGGGTCGGTAGCCAATTTTAACATCATATACCTGCGTGGAACTCCTCACCAGATGAGGTGGTGATTTTTTATTTTTAAAAAGTATTTCTGATTTAAGAACGTACCAGAGGGAAAGGGTGGGAGAGGGGTTGCTTTTTTCAGTGCCAAGAGGTACAGATTAAAGGACAAAGCATTTGTGTTCAGTCTCTGAAAAATACCGCATTTCTCATTATTTCCACATCAAAATATAAGCTAAAACGGGAGCTGGGACAGAGCCTGGAAACCTGACAGCCGGTTTTGCTACATCTCCTTAAGCGGCACAAAAAATAGTATTTTTCTGCGATAACATCTGATCACAATGTACGTCAGCAGCCCAGTTTTCTGGGACGGCAACTGGACCAGCACATAGTTAAAACGATGGGATTCACTATTACAGGATGTAATAGTGGTACCAAACTTTAACGTCTTTAGAAGGGGCTTAGACAAATTCATGGAGGATAAAGCTATCAATGGGTATTGGCAGGTGGTGTGTTTTTGGTTTTTAATTTTTTTATCGAAACTTTTCAGCACACAATACAATAAAAAACAAACTATTCTAAATAGTAAAAAAGCAAAAGCAAAAGGGGTGGGTGGGAATACAAAGCCCTCTGTCAGGGGTAGATCTTAACCCTTATCTCACACAAAAGCGGGTGGACCCTCCCAGCTTTCACCTGGGAGCATCCCATTCGTCTCCCAGGCTCCCGCCCTGGAAGATCTTCCCTTCTCTGTCTCTCACACAGGGTCTTTTTCTGTTATCAAACCACCACTCCCACTAAAGTGGTCAATTCCGCAAGTTCTATCACCATAAACACCACTTTGAAACACTTTTGTTTCTAGGTTGTGAGCTTGGGGCTATATTGCAACTCTTTAGGTGACAGATTTAAAGAGTCGGAAATTATACTTTCAAGTATTGCTAAAATGGTGAAGAGCTCCTCTCCCCTTTGGGAAGGCAAGGATGGTGATGTGCTGTGTGCCTGGATATGGATTCTGATCTGGAAAAAAAGCATTATCCAAAGTTGAGTTTCTGAGAAAGGGACATCTCCTATTCAGCTGGCAAAAGCAGCACCCTACAAATACTTGTAGAGCTTGAGACCCAACTACTGTGTGCTAGGTGTCAGGAAACATCCAACAGGAGTGAAGAAAGCGTTACTTTGGAAGAAGCGGATTCAATGAGAAAGCCACACCAAAATTTCAGCTCATTATCTCTGTTTATTATCTATGCTCTGAACAAGACTAGTGCATCCTGACCAGAACAGGCAAAATACTCAGGATTTTGCAGTGAAGAAAGAAACACCAAGTTTCTAGGAGTTAAAGGCACACTTTCAGCAGTTTTCCACAAAAGGAAATCTTGATACTGCTATGGACAAACCTCATGCATGGAACACACCCTTGTTGAAGGTGAAATAATAATAATGACTTTAAACCAAGCATTATCCTATGCAGACTGATTCAGCTGAGCATTAGTGCTGCAAAGCTTGCCTTCCTGAATTGAAAGAGGTCTGGTGGTTTCCTCTGGGGACACATCCAAAGCAGAGAATGCTCCAGGCTACTTGAGAAGGGACAGTCCTAGCAGCAGCTCCTGGGAGGCAGGAATAATGTAGGACACATTCACACCATTTATTTAAAGCACTGTGATACTAAAGGGAGCTTAAGGGTAACAACTAAGAGTTGTTAAGAAACCCCTCCTCTTCTCACAGACCTACAATTCAGAGTTCCCTGGGAAGAGGGATTGATTCTTAAATCACGAAGATTTTTAAACTCTGGGAGAGGAGTAGGATCTCACAACTTTCAGCACCCTTAACAAACTACAGCTCCCAGAATTCTTTGGGGGAAGCCACAACTGTTTCAATGGTATCATTGTGATTTTAATGTATGGTGTGAATGTTGCTTTAATGAATTTACTTCTGGCTACTGTGACTTTTTGCTTTATTTGTTAAGATGTTGCCTATCACTCCCCATTTTTAGTGATTATACAGCATTTCAATGACGCTACTAACAGCCACTGTAAGCATTTTAAGGAAAGCCAAGATAAATATATTTTTTCCACAAACAAACCACCGACTGCACATAGACGTACCAGTGGTGTCACTGGGATGCTCTCTCCCACCTGGCTGCTCCAATTCTGTCAATGTATTCCTGTCTCCTTCATCGTCTTCCTCTTCAGGCTCCTGGCCTCCAGAAGCCTGGGGCAAGGGCCCCTGGGGGGTAGGTGTCCTGTGTGGGGCAGGCTCATCTGAGGCATTGGTAGAGGGGCAGCTCCTGGAGTAAGACCCGTTGGTGGGACCTGGGCGGGGGGCAGAAGGAGGACGGGCAGCATAGGTAAAGGCGGTGGTCTTGTGAACCACCGCGATATCTTCGAGGTAGCGTTGAACAGCATCAGCCAGAGCCCCACTTCCATGCTGTGCGTAGCTGAAGCCACCAGGGGGTGGGGCCCTGAAGGCGGTGAGCAGCACTATCTCATTGCCCGTCTGACGCCGGTACTGTTCTGCTGCAGCAACCAGGGCTGCCCAGCTCTCCTTGTGGTTATCCGCCATGTTCGTCATCCTACAGGCAAACAAAAAAGAGAAGGGGTACACGCGTTAATGTTATGGAAATAGCAGCTGGGCAAACGTTAAGGGCTTTAGTTGACTGAAATATTAAATTGGCTTAAGTAATATGGATGAAACAGTACTTGAGAGGCAACCCAAAAACCTTCCCTTTTGACCACAGGCATGGACCGTATTTGAAGAGAATTGCATGCAATTCCTCTTCTAAAGCAGAACCTGCTACCCACTATTTCTGTAAGCGTCTGTATCGAAACAATAATCATTCTTATTAAAGAGCACTGCTGCCTAATCTATCAGGGGCAAACTTTTGTCATTGGGAAGGAAGCCAAACTAGCACATTTAAAGCAGGAAGGGTCAAGAAGCAACGTCTCCAGGGTCCCCAAAAAGGGCAAGCAGAAAAGCTACCCCTACCCAGACCCTGGGGCTCTCTTTTTTGGGGGGTGGGTAATAGACAGTGGGGTCCTTTCTAACGGGTCGCAGTGAGGGATGGAAACAGGCAGCCAGGACTCCTGGGTTCTGGTCCAGCAATACGGCAAAACGCACGTTCATCCCTTTGAGGGCGGGGGCGGCAGATCACAATATCTCCAGACAAACAACGCTAACGGGGGGAGGAGGAAGAAGAAGGGGGTCAGAAACAAACACCTTCCCCCCTCCCCTTCCAAGAAGGGCTCCAGAGGGAGGGGGGAAAGGGTTGCATTACCTGCCAGCGCCTCTCAGTTCTTCCTCCGCCGAAGCCTCCCCACCCCCCTCGGGGGCCACCACTCGGAACCCTGACCTCTCACCTTTGACCCTCCCCAAGACACTTATGGGCCCCCCTCCTCCTCCAAACAACAACCGCCTCCTCCTCCTCCCGGAGGCCCCGCCCACTCCCTCTGCCCTCACAAGGCATGAGAGGCGCCCGCACGTTTCCCGTTACGAAGATGGCGGAGCTAAAAGAGCGCAGCGCCCCCTCCCTCCCTTTTAAGGGCCTGAGGGGGTTTTTCATGCCCGATTCAAAGATGGAGGCCGGAGAGCGAGGGGCTGGCCCCGCCCGGGGCTACGGAAGGCGCCTTCTCCTCAGGCAGTCCCTGCCGCGCTCGGGGTGTGTGGGAGGGGGTTGCTCTCAGGTAAGGGCCGCAGCCGAGAGCGCTCTTCCTAAAAGTGGACCGGGGGCTTCGAGGCGCTGCGTGCAACAAGGATGGAGGAGGAGGAGGCTCGGCGCTGCCCCCTTGCGAAAACGGCGCTGCCATTTAACTTCACTCTGGCCTGAACGGCCATAATAACGGGAAAGCCGCCCATCCTTTTTTTCTTGGGCGCTTTTCAGCTTGGTGCCTTCGGGACAGAATCTGCACTTCGCGCGGGGAGAATTCCGTGCGGGGAGCACTTCCGGTTTGGCCCGGAAGTGGGTGAACCGTTGCGAGCAGTGTGCGTCGCTCTACTCTTTTCCTATCTCTACGCGTAAGATGGCGTTCGGCGCCTCGATAAAGGCGACGGTAGGAAGCGGTTGCCCCACCCGCTGTAGTCCTTTGCCCTATATAAAGATGGCAGGTGCGTCCACTTTCCTCTCCCCTCCCTCCTTGTCATTGATACGCTGTTGCGTTAATTGTTTTTTTTCTAACTGCGGTTCGGTTATAAAGTGTTCACACCCCGCATTTAAGCATAAAAGCACATTTCTATTTGGCCCGCCTGAACGCATGAGCTTTCCTTCCCGTCAGTGTTTGTGGTATAATCTGATTGGTGCACTTTGCCCACAGACGGGGAAGATCGCAAAGCCGCGGCTCTTGAGAGACCATGCCCTCTACCAAGATGGCGGCAGAAGCGTCCGCGGACGTGGCGCCCGTAAGCGTTCCTTGCTGAGGCGCTTTCTGCCAGAAACAAGGATGGCGGCCGGGGTGGGTGTGAAGCGGACTAACCAAGAGGGTGGAGCAAATGGAGCAGGAAATGACGGTTTGTTTTTCCGGAAGTGGCTGTCAGGGAGAATGGAGTTAGGGGGCTGCAGGGTGAGGGAGGCCTTCCCCGCAGTGGGGCAGGGCTGGCCAGGCTCCTCGGAGAAGGGGAGGCTGGGGGGAGGGTTGGGTTTCCCCTCTCTCGGAGAGCTCACATTTGTCCCCCAGGAGCGGAGCGGGAGGGTCTCTTTCCTCCTCTTGAGCGCAGTGGGAGGTTGGTAGAGCGGCTCTCTCGTCCCCTCAGCCGGATAAGTTAGTGGGGAGAAGCGGAATCTGACCCCTTTCCTGGGTGGAAGTTCCTAAAAGGCCCTTGCTCTGAGTTGTCTTCATAAAGTCGCCCTTCCTCTTACTTTAGTGTTATTGAGGGGGCCATAAAGTATGTTCCAGCAGCCTTAGTTTGAGGCAGGGCTTCCCTTCCCCAGCTGCATTCTACAGAGGTGGGTGGGGATGCCAGTGAACCTGCTTCCTGTGCTGACCTCCTGTTTTTTTCCTGTCCTTCTTCAGGTTGCATTTGAGAAGGATGGTGTCTATTTACACACCAGCGCAAAGCGTCATCCAGACCAGGATTCCCTGATTCCGGGGGTTATCCGCATAATCGAGAAGGTTGGTTGAGGTGGGATACGGGTTGGAGTTGGAAAAGGGATGAGGGACGGGTTGTGCACCCAAGACAGGAAAAAGGTCAGCGCATGTGGTGGTAGAATTTGGTCGGTATAGATTTCAGCATTCTGAGTACGTCGGGCTTTGATTTTAAAGAGTGTTCCTAGCGCTCGTGATTTCAGAAGTAGGCTTGAAAAACTGTAAGCTGTGCCTGGTGACATTGTGAAAAGGTGTAGGCAGTACCTGGTGACATCTTGGAATATAGAGTGGGTGTAGGCTTGAAGAGATTTTCCACTAATTGGGGATGAGTCACTTTCGTAGGAGAAGGAAGAGGTATACAGAGGTGGCAATCCTTAGTGCTCAACATACTTTCTTATTCTTCCCTGAGGCTTGGAGAATCAGTAATGCTATTTGACTTTCCTTAAACTTATATCATCTAGGTGTTCAAATTCAGATTGCATTGTTACAGCATCTGGATTGTTTTAGTAAAGTGTGTGTACACAGTTATGGATATCTTTTTCATGACTCTCTCATGAGACTGTCTTTCTCCATTTATTCAGGGCTCGGATACTTTGCTACAATGGACACCCATAGAAGAGTCATCAGATGCTGCTCAGATCACATATACCAAGAAGGTGAGGCCCTCTTTCTTGCTGGTATAAACTTCTACTGGTATATTAAATCTTCATCACATTGTGTCCTAATAACTTGAGTAATAAAACATCATCTAAATAAAGCATTATTTAGACTAGTGATTCGTTAAAAAGTTTTGCCTGTATTGGGAACTGGTGTTTTCGTTTCCTTGTTCTTTTCATATCGCATTGCCATAACAGATTTTTTAATTGGTTACTGAGGGAGAGAGCTGTAGGACAATGGAGCAGCTGCTGAGACTGCCCCACTATTTGAGTTGGTGTAGTTAGATAGTTGTTCTGGGCTTCATTCCCATTAACCAGGACACAAAGCTGCAAATGTTATTCAGGAATGTGCCTTTACTACTTTATGATTTGCACACAGGGGTCTATTCCCTGCTTTCTCCACCCACCCCCTCTCTAGGAGGATCATGGAGAATGAAGTGATGAGGATATGCCAGTTCTCTGCTGTTCTATTTTCTAGAAAGGATGCCATCTTTTCCTCCTGTTGATCAGAGCCTGGAAATGGTAGAACAGAAAAAGTATCCTGTGATAAAGTTAATCCAGCAGAAATGTTGGACATTTGAAACTGCTTTATATTGAGTCAAACAACTGGCTCAGGGCTGCCCACTACAATTGGCGGTGGCTCTCCAAAGCATCAGACGGAGATCTTTCTCAGTCCTCCTGCACTAGATCTCTTTAATTGGAAATGCCAGGGACTGAGACTTTCTATATGCAAAGTATTACTGATTCTTATGTTTTAAGACAGGAACACCCTAAGGATGTGTTTATATCTTTAGATGCTCATTTATGGTTTTGTTCAGGATGGGGAATGATCTTCTATACTGTTTCCCATTCTCTTTACATATAACAGTGCATTATTATTTTTCCTAACAAGGAGGACTGTGTTTAGCGAATCCTGTGAGTTCTCCTTTATTTCTCATCCTAGGAAGTAGCCCCTCCATTGTGATGCAGAAAGGGAGCAGGGCAATTTCAGGTCTGTTAATGTTCATAAAGACAGGGATGTACTTCTGTTTAAAGAGGAGTCTGTCCTTCCACACCTTCCACGCTCAAATTCCTCTCAGTGAGACCAAGAGTTCAAAGTGTATTCCATTGAATTCATAATTTGTGTGAGCACCTCCTTGAAGATCATGATGAAATATAAGGAATTGGGTAGCTTCTGAAAGCCCTGATCTCTCTTTCCATTTTCCAGGACCCAGTGGGCTGCCAGACTGAAGAAGAAATCTTTGATCCGGGGTATGAACCGGACTGGGCTGTGATCAGTACAGTGGGGACCCGGGCTCGGGCTCAAGAGGAAACAAATGGTAATCAAAAAGATGACGGGGATGTTTGCCCCTTGGTATACTTAAGTGGCATAGTACAGGGATTGCTGGTAAAGATGCAGCAAGGGATACAGGATGGAGGTAGGGGAGAAGAGGTAGCTGGCAAATGTGGGATATTCTTTTCTGGTTCTCTTGACATCATCCCTTTTATATTTGTGCTTGGCTTTCCCCTCTCCAGCAGCTTCCGGGCCCAAATCTCCAGTCCCACGTGGTCAGTGGGCCTTCTCCCTCAGCTTGTCTGAGCTGAAATCCATCCGCAAGAGCAAGCCAGGTTTGGGCTGGTCATACCTCATCTTCATCACCAAAGATGGCATCTCCATTCAAGCCCTGCACTTCCACCGTGGAGGCACCAAAGCCCTGCTCAAGGCCCTCTGCAAATACATTATCTTAGCCACGTGAGTGAGGGTGGTGTCGGGTACCTTATTTGTTCAAAAGATAAAAAAGTAAAGAGAAAGCTCTTAAGTCAGATGTGGAAGGCGCTGCCCGACTAGCCTTCGACCTCTGGGCTGCATTACTCAGGATTGAGGCAGTCAGTTTGCACGAACTTGGAGGCAGGGAGCACTTTCCCCAGCACTGCAAATTAAAGAAGAAAAATAATATATACAATATTCAGTTCTGAACTAAAAACACCATCACAGTAAATTAGTTGGACTCAGACTGGCGTAAAATGTTTTCACAATTGCTTGTTAAAAGCAACAATGATGAGGCCATCCTTAGGAAGGGGATGTGATAGGTGCAGAGCCATCACTGAAAAGGCCCTGCACATGGTGCTCATTCACTCATGGACCTGAAAGGAGGGCTTCTGATTTCGCTAATTTTGCAGCTTGTCCAGTAGGCAGTGATCCTTCAGATAACCTAACAGTTGCTGGAAGGCAATAAACTCACTGTGGTTTCTCTTCTCGCCTTGCAGCTCCCCCAAAGATTCCCGCCTCTACTTGGTTTACACACATGATTCGTATGCCCTCTCCCACTCCTTCGATGAGCTTCAACTCTTCGATGACAGCTCTTCCAACCTTGTGTCGGTGAGGTTCTTCTCCAAAATGCCCTGCAACTGCAACTTAAGTTCTAGTTTAGTGGTTCCCAATTAGCAAAGTACTGCGGATCCTCTGTTTTTGAAAAGCCAAGTCATGGAACCCCCTACTTCTGAAAATGTTGATATCTCTCTGGTAGTTTTGTTATGTGAATGGCGCCACCATACCCTCCAACATGTCCCAGTGCATGTTCCTGCCATGCTCCTGCATGAGTCATGTGACCCGCATGAGAACACGACTCCCCAAAACAGGATGGATATGTGCCATGGACCTCCTGGTCAGGGGTCCACAGACCACTAATTGGGAACCACTATTCTAGAGGATTAGAATGCAGAGAGGGTGTGCTTGTGTGGCCTGGCTCTGTGGGAGAAATCTAAAGACTTGTGGCAGTAGGATTATGTGGGAAGGGACAAAAGCTATAAACAGGGAGGCTTGTCTGTTGTAGGTGCTGACGCTGGTTAGAGCAGGGAGTTATGGGAACACGGGCTCCTGGGTTTCCTTGAATGAATTATATTAGAACAAGTTACAGGTAGGTAGCTGTGTTGGTCTGCCATAGTTGAAACAAAATAAAAAAAATCCTTCCAGTAGCACATTAGAGACCAACTAAGTTAGTTATTGGCATGAGCTTTCATGTGCATGCACACTTCTTCAGATACACTGAAACAGAAGTCACCAGACCCTTATATATAGTGAGGGGGGGAGGGGTATTACTCAGAAGGGTGGTGGGAATGTGTGCTTGGTTGATAGGTGTGGTAAACCTGTTACCGACTGCAGTTGGTCTTACAGGAAAAAGCAAGGGGTGAGATGTCTCTATTCAGACCAGGTCTCTCCA